AATACCTCGTTTAGTGTACAAATTTTTAGAATTCAAAAAAGAATAATTAGAATTATGAGTGGGCTAAGAGCAAGGGATTCCTGTAGACAAGCATTTAGGGATTGGGGGATTTTGCCACTCCAGTCCCAATATATATTTTCTTTATTGATATTTGTTGTAAATAATAAGGGTCTATTCCATACATCAACACAGATTCATGGTCTCAATACAAGGCGCGGTTTAGATTTATATTGCCCTCAGACAAATTTAACAGTTCATCAGAAGGGTCCTTATTGCTATGGAATTAAACTTTTTAATTGTCTCCCATTAAAAATAAAGGAAGTAGTACATGATAATAAGGTATTTAGAGTGGCCTTAAACGCCTTTTTACATTCAAAATCCTTTTATACTTTGGATGAATATTTTGGTTGTATAAATGAGTAGTAATTTACTATGTTCATTCAATATTGCATGCATTGTTTGGATGTGCAGTTGTACATTCAAGGATATTGCACTGATACCTGCATTGTATATAGCAAGCTTATACCTTGACTGGTTTTATTTGGTATTGAACATGTAAGATATAATCTCCAACTTGACTGGTATGCCATGTAACAAACATACCTCAGTATAGTTGATGGATGTTGTGATCATTTATGGTTTGAGATATATAAGCTACTAAGTTGAATGAATTTATTATGTAATGTGTTTTTATTACAATTTTAATTTATTTTATTTACAATTAAACATGGTATAGTGTTATGTATATTTTAGGTTGATGTATATTTTATGTTGACTAGTTCCATTGTTGGAGCATTTGTTGAAGATATTTGACTTGTTCTGTGTCCAATGGTGTTGGCCTGTAATTGGATTTGCTTGAATGCAATAAATACTATACTATACTACTAACATCCAAATTTTAAATATGTATTTCTATATTTTTGTACATATTTATTTGCTGAAACTTGTTTTGTAATAGTCATAATTTTTAAAGATATGAACGCCTGTGAAAAACTTGAAATTGTGATTTAGTGTTTGTTGGATTTAACGTTCTCACAGTGATAACTACGAAGATCTCTGTGTTCTGGGATGTAATGAAGAAGGCCACCGACATGTCAGAGGAACGCACTACCTCTATCTCCATGGTCGAAGAGTAAGTCAAGAAGGAAAGTAATAGGACTCAGACTGCAAGCTGATGCTGCCTGAGTCATTCTGGATTCTTGCTTGGCTTACTCTCAAACCTAGATGATGGAGGCAGTATTTACCCTCCTAAATGTTTGTGGACTTCCAGCTGGAGTGCCCCCCATTACATCCCTGAAGATAATACGTGTCTAGATAGGGGCTGTTGTAGACATGTTAAGCCCATAAGAAACTGACATGAAATGGCTTTCTTGTGTCTGTGTGCAATATAACTCTCAACATAACTGAAATGTGCAGTGAAATCCCAGTATAACAGCTTTAAAATTAACAGACCTAATTTTCTTTACTGTAAATGTTTGAATGTTGTAATTTCTTGGGAATACCATTCCCACTAAAATTGATTAAGTGCTACTAGGTCTCTCTCCCTTCTGGTGCTCCCTGCGGTTATTTTTTTTTATATTTCCTCATTTCTGTTCATGTTATTCATTAAAATGTTCAAGAGGAGCAATTAGGACGACAAACAGCTGTGTGCTGCTCCAGGGCAGTGAGCTGCCATCCACTGGCCTAGTCAGTCAAGAAGTTACTCATTAACATAAATTACAGATAACTTTTGTGTGACAGCTCTGGTATTTGTTGCAGGTTTCCACAGGCATCTCCCCCTTTGCCTGGTATACTATAATTGCAGCCCTGTTTGTGCTGGTTGCATGTGCATTGAGAAAGGTGAGTTTCTTAAGATTTGTCTCCACATTCACTATCACTAAGCTACGTGCTGGGCCACGCGTTGCTCAACCGGTTAGTTGCTGGCTTCCTACTGTGGCGGCCCGGGTTCGATCCCGGGTCTGGTCAAGTAGGATTTGTGGTGGACAGAGTGGCGCTTGGGCAGGTCTTCTCCGAGTACTTCGGTTTCCCCTGCCAATCTTCATACCACTAATTGCTCCACAATCACCCTCACCTATCATCTTGGGCTGGTACAACAGGCCAGAAGTGGCCGCCGTACAAGGGACTTTTTTATTATTAGTTGGGTGGGACTAAGTCCCTGGATTGAGTGGTTGAGACTACTTCATTCTAACAGGCCTAATTGAGTAGGTTTATCCTGCCCTACCCACCTGAGGATGGAGACAGATCCAGTCTCCGAAATGTTGTGATCNACAACAAAGACACCTTAATCACTTTGGAAAACCAGTTTCTTGTTGTACTTAGTAACTTATTATTATTATTATTATTATTATTATTATTATTATTATCATTATCATTATCATTATTAATGTTGTTGTTGTTGTTCTAGTTGTATATCCGGACATATCATTCTACAATCCATGAGGAACAGGAGGTGATCGATAGACCCCTGGAGAAGAACAAGTAACTGACCACCCACAGTACGACACCAAAGTTACAGGGGTGCCCTGCAACACGTGTCCCTGATAGAAGAAGAGAGAAATTCGAGCCTGCAGTTTTTGCAGCATATAAAAAGAGTGAGTAGATCTCCTAGTCCATACAGCTAACCTAACATTAAAATAACACGTTTTCCTGTGTTAACATTAAGTTAATGTGGAAGGACAATTTTTTTCATCTTGTCAAGATATTCTTAAGGTAATGTGAAATGTTTGCTGGATTTAACTTTTTAAACACCAAACCATGAAAAAGTATGGGGAAATGGAAGCATAGCTCCAAATTCATATTAGCATACACCCAACTGAAGTATTTTGTATAGCAGTGGTCTACAGGCTGGATGGTCCGGGTTTGATTCCATGCATTCAGAGATTTTTCTCCTCTTCATAGAATCTGGATACATTCTGGGGTCCCTCCAGCCACTTAGCTAATGGGGACCAGGGGATTCTGAATACTGACTCATCCATGTGAGGGTTATGTAAATGGCATAAGTTGAAGTATATGATTTTAAGGTTGTTCAAATAGCATGAGGTGACAGTGTGACGTATGTGAATGGATGTATCTCTGAATAACCGCGTGTGTGTAACCACTGTTGTTATTGCTGATTTTAGACATTCTTTGTATTTATACAGCATGTTCCACATCCAGCAGCCATTTGACTGACTTTGGATGTATGGAATGCGTTGTAAGTGTAAATTCTCTCGGCTAGAGACCGCCTCTGTGGTCCAGTGGTCAAATTTCCTGGCTACATATCCAGAGGTCTGGGTTCGATTCCCTGTGCTACCAGGTTTTCTGAGAAGTACTGGGTCTGGAACGGGGTCCATTCAGCCTCGTGAGGATAGTTGAGGAGCTATTTCAAGGAAATAGCAGCTCCAGTCTAGAAAACCGAGATTAACGGCCGTGGGGATTCTTTGCGCCGACCACGTGACACCCTTTTTCCGCTAAAGCTGGCACTGACTTCGCCGACAAGTGGAAGTCACTCGGTCAGTGTAGTTTGCGTACGGACAAAACCACTGAGTTTTTTTTCCATTTGTGAATTAGCTGGCTGGCTGGCTCAACAGCCTTCTCACAATTACAGCACGGAACTTTTCATATATCTCTGATGACAAGGTGCGATGAAAACTTTCTGACTAATAACGGTTTTTTTCTCTTCCAGAACTTCCGATGAACAAGGTTGTGGTGGGTATAGCGCCAATGCCAAATACGACTTCAGTTGGACCCAAGGTAGACTCTTGGAGCAAGAATATGCACCTCGTGTGAGATGGGAGCAACTTCAAGACAATTAACGAGAATCCCATGCCGAATATGACTTCAGTTGGACCCAAGGTAGTCTTGGAACAAGAATATGTACCTCGTGCGAGATGGGAGCGACTTCAAGATAATTAACGAGAAGCCCAACTATAAACACGTGAAGTCCAGGATTGACCTTACGAAGAGGCCATTTAGTCTAGATCATGATGAAAATGAGATTCTGGCAGGGTGAGTTGTGGCATGGCTCAGGATAGAAACATACCAGGTGCTGGCTATCACCGTTACGACGTGGAAGTAGAGGTCACCAGTGTTGTGCCCTGATAGGGGGCAGTGACTGTACTCACCCCCTATCGGACGTCCGTGGATATCACTTAACCTTTAAGAGACGGCCATTTAAATTCCGGTAGTGGTAGCGGGACGGAGTTAATTTAAATGCCCGCCACTGTAGAGTAATAAAAATTGTAATCATGTTACTCAGAATGCTGTGATTTCTACTATTTTTGTGATAAACGAACAAAATAAACGCTGCTTTTATCTAGAAAGAATATAGAATCAGTTATTGTAATTTACCAATTTTAAAATCTCTAAAAAATTTTTACACTGATGCCAAGAAAAATTTTTCCCCTCAATTTCGAACGTCTGTGCACAAAAATGCATACAGTTCCTGCACAAGACATTTCTGCAGTCTGAATGCCTGCTGGTGACATCATGCTCTAACTATGGCTTGTGTTGCTACAAAGTCAGATGTTTACGCTTCGTTCATCATGCTCCAGTTCGTAGGATCCTTACGGTATGAACGAGTGTGGGCGATGTCTACTTGTTCGCAGAAACACTGACTGTTTTATCTCGTATAGCCAAACAAGAAGTAGTCTGTTTTGAAATATAGCCGAGCAGTGTCAGAACATTCAAGGCTAGTGTTGTGTTTAGCTGTCCACCATGGCCTCGTATGTGGAAGACGCTGAAATTGAGAATCAGCTTATAAATGACACCGATTCAGACTGCTTGTACCGATGACTCTGAGAGTTGCGAGGAAGAAAGTGAATCAGAAATTGAAGTCGATGAAGAACCATCATCTTCGTCGGCAACCTGGGGACCACCACACCAGCGTGGCAAGAGGAGTGTGAATAATTATTCAGGTGGAGCTGTGGCCAAACTGTGGCAAACAGTTATAGCATCTGTCATCGAACCTGGAAATGGACAAATAACTATTTTTCTGTCTCCTGGATCTGAACAGTTACATCCTGTTGTCACAAAGAGAATTTCGTCTCACTCTTGTGCGGAACATGCTGGAAGGGGTCCATCTCGCCATCAACGACCCAGGGGTCGAACCCCTGCCATTTTATCGGAGATATCTCGATTATATGGGCCAAACCACATCACTGGCCGACTTCCTGTACTTCAAAATTGAGGTGTCATGTGTGCTTTTCGCGTGGGAAACGAAGAACTGTCCGGAGAAAGTGCATGAAGTGCGACATCGGACACTGGATTTCCAGATGTTTCCAAGATTTCCACATGAAGCCAACAGTCTGTTAGAAGACGCAGGTGAGAAGAGAGACAACTTATAAAGCTGGTGACCAAAAATCATGTAATTAAAAAAAGAATTTATAACTTAAAATTAGATTTTAAAAGCCGGCCGCACGCGTGGACTGCGCGACGACATATGGCGTCATTCGTCCCCTTGACTTTATTTTGATGATGCCATATGGCGTCGCTCGGCTCTTAAAGGTTAACCTATGCTGTGGAAAACATGCTTCACTAGGAGGGTCATAAAAACTCCAGTTCTCCAAACAACAACAAAAATGGAATATTATACTCAAATTAAAACACTTATACACCTCTAAATTCTAAAAACACATTAACCCACCAAAATAATTTAAACCAGAAGTTCTAATAAGCCATCAGTGACCCGACCACTGGCAAGTATTCACTCGCGCTAACCATGATGCACATGAAAAACACTGGCGCCATCCCAAGGTTTTCCACAGGCACACTTTGCTTTACTCCGTTTCTGGCAACTGCTAGAAACAGAGTGCCTGAAACGGCCTGTTTTTCCCAATTCCAAGATTCAACTTTTTCCCAAGTTGCGAAAGCTGCGCACANAAAACACATTAACCCACCAAAATAATTTAAACCAGAAGTTCTAATAAGCCATCAGTGACCCGACCACTGGCAAGTATTCACTCGCGCTAACCATGATGCACATGAAAAACACTGGCGCCATCCCAAGGTTTTCCACAGGCACACTTTGCTTTACTCCGTTTCTGGCAACTGCTAGAAACAGAGTGCCTGAAACGGCCTGTTTTTCCCAATTCCAAGATTCAACTTTTTCCCAAGTTGCGAAAGCTGCGCACACGAAATCCCTGAGGTCGGCATCTTGCCGGACATGTCTTGTCGCGCGAAGCGAAACTTGACCGGGTCTTTCCACTGATGCGTAAACAGTCTTTTCTAAAAACAATTCGATCGACTGCCAAGGAACGTGAAGAGTCAGCGGCGGCTGTCTCCACACCTTCCGGCCAGCCGTCTAACATTTTAACCTAAGCACACAATCTTACAAAAATTATACTTAATAACTAATGAAATGGGCTCAACATTACCCCCACATAAAATGGAAATATTAACTCCAACGAGTTGAGGTTTTCATCCAGACCTCTTACCACTTTGACTCACTGGGTCCCTTGCATCTCAGATCCACCTCTCCGATTTCTCAAACACAGCAAACATCAAGCTGTACCCACGTGAACTCTTACAAAGACAGTTAGCTACTATATCACAACAAAAATAGTAAATACAATACTGAAACAGTATATGCGGAGTATGCAAAAAAATTATACAAGTTTAAATGGTGGCAAAGTTCATGGGTGAGTCCTTTAATTGTTCAAATAATTCACTCATTTATGGCCACAGTTATTCTGGGCCTCTGCGTGTGGACATTCTCGCTCAGTTCAGGAGCTGAAATCTTCCGGGCTGAGCGAAGTACGTTCGTTCAGCGGCCTCTGGCTGGGCAGCTGGAGCTGGTCTGGATACCGTTTCTGCCTCCACCCAAAGTGACGCAGCGGAATGTGACGCCGCGTCCTCCACATTCTCATCGGGAGTTTCGACAGAGCCAAAGCGATTGGTCACCCCTGAGTCCATAGCTGGGACTCTGCATGCGGCCGGTCGATTCGCTGTCTGGGACACATGGTCGTTGGTCAGTGGTACATGGGAGAACTCTTCAGATCAGGAGGGTTATAGGATGTCGCCAGTATTTAAGGGTGAGGATTACAAATGGCAGGATAATGCTAAAGGCGATCAACATATACAACCAAGTTACTTGGCTCATCATAGCCCCATCAGTAGACACGGTGTCCAGGAGATCTCTCAGCTCGACATAGGGCTGTTGGTTGACGTGTGAACTCTGTCGCACGACGATCTCCAGGGCCGCAAATGAACGGCGTGTCCGCAACTCATCGTGCGTGATTTGGCGCCGTTCCTCACGCGACATCAGCTCGGGCAGGTGTGGGGGTAGAACCTGGTTGCTGGTGAGCGACACATTCGTATAGCCATCCGACACCGGCAACAGAATAAAGGCCTCAGAATAAAACTGACAATGAATATCATCCATTAGTATGCCCGTGTGAGATAATTCAATATTAAAACTTTGGGTGGCGCCATTCCCTTTACATGTCTTCGTAACAATAGTTGGCGAGGGCAGACTATAAATCCAAAAAGGGCGAAATCCTTTCGCCTGAAGCCATATGGGGTTAAATTTTTCATTTAAAATAACCTTCCGGAAGCCATACGGGCTTAAATTTTTCATTTAAAATAACCTTCCGGCAAAATTTATGTGCAAAATCTGTCTGGCCGAAGTATAAAGCCGAAACGCAAGTCGCTTGATTCTTATGTATAGTGGCTTCACAAATATTAACTGACCCCTTCCTACATGGTTGCAAGTCTGCCGTCGCCAGGGGGGAGTAGTACTGCCTGTTTTCGGTCACTGCTAAATAAGGTGCTTCTGGTTCAATTTGAATGTGTCTTCCCAATACATCTGAATAGGTTGGTAAAGGAACACTCTTAAAAACGGTCATACCTCGGTAGGCCCCTCTCAGTGGGATGCGTACTATGAGACGAATGGTCATAGCAGTAGCGTATGCCTGCACAGTCACAACCTCATAGTACACATACATATTTTCCACAGTAAAACCGGCTATTAGCGAAACATCCTGGGGCAATCTCAAAGCAACTTCTTGTAAAATTTTGGATAAGTTATGCGGAGGAATCAAAACTGAAGATAGCCTTCCAGCGGCACTGATTTCTAACCCCTCTTGCAGTTGTATGACCGATTGCTGTAACTGCATCACTGTAAATTCCAATTCGCACATGACGCGTGAAACATTTGCCTGAAAATTTATCAATGTTTTCAAGTTCTGAATTTCGTCCTCAACAGATTTCTGATAAGTAAGGGCGTTAGTGATCACACTCTTAAGAACTCAGGTCACGGTTGCCAATCCCATAGTGTACTCGGAAATGGCCTCATCTATGGATTTAAGATAAGTTAATTGCTTTTGAATGGCGTGAATCACTTCCCCTTCTCTTGTCTTTATGTGCTCCTACATCTCTAATTAAACAAAAAGTTAATTGTCTAAGTAACTAAACAATTCATAATTTAAATTTTCCTCCCTGGGAGTGGTCGCAAGTTATATCGAGGGGGTTGCTCAGTGCCTTCCTCGTGTTCCGGGACGTTCCCTGTTTCGGGTAATCCGCTCGGGCGGGGCTCAGCGTCCGTTTCCTCAGGGTCACTCACTTCGCCCTCTCTTTCTGTCGGTGTCCCATCAGACGCTACTGTGTCTTCCCCTTGCCTACTCCGTAACCAGTACCTAGCCCCCATTTCCCTTCCGGTGTCGGGTGACTCGTCGGTGGCTCTCTGAACCTCCTGATGTCTACTGGGTTCCCAGGTGGGGCCCTGACTTCGATCCTCGGTCCTCTCGCCTGTCAAAGTGGTTGGCGTAAAGACGAAGCTACCTTCATCCTCATCGTGATCATGGGAGGCAAGTGGAGTTATTCCCTCGTCATTCGCCTCGTCCTGACCTTCGTCTCTTTCCTGAACCCTTAACGGGATATCCCTTGTCCCACTTGGCGCGGGGACAGTTTTCACGCAACATTTCTTCATTTTGTTAACATTTACCACCAGCTCCTTCCTTTGGGATACTCGCACAAGATAATTCAAATCGGACAATCTACGTACCACCTCGTAAGGGCCCCTCCACCTAAGCCTAAATTTTGGACAACCACGTTTGACCTTGCTCATCTGACGAAGATAAACCATTTCACCGGGTTGGAAAATAACTAATCTGGTTCCCTTATCATACCATTCCTTCTGTCTCTCTCTGCCCACCTTATTATTTTCTCTTACAACACGGTACACCTCCTCGAGGCGGTCAGCCAAAGTGTCAATGTGGTCCTGAATCAAACTACGGTTATCTTTCGGTTCCCCCTTTAAAAATTTTCCAGTAGTGAGGTCATCCTCCATGGGAAGGCGCATCTGACGTCCGTGTAGCAAGTAAAACGGACTGTATCGAGTAATGGAATGAGGAATGGCCCTATGGGCCATCAGGGCGTAGTTCACGAACTCATCCCAGTCATTCCCATACTTATTTACATAGTGGCTCATGGTTTGGTTGAGTCCCAGATGAAATTTCTCAACCTTGCCTTGCATCTGCGGATTGAACGCAGTGGAGTTAATTCTTTTCACCTGCAGCAGCTTGCACATCTCCTGGAAAAGTTCCGACATGAAGTTGGATCCTTTATCCGATGATAGAGCCTGAGGACAACCCAACCGTGAAAATATGTCCGTAACAAGAGCCCGCGCGACTGTTGGGGCGTCTTGCCGGGGTATGGGGATAGCTTCCGGATAACGGCTAAAGTGGTCTATGAAAGTAAGAAGGTACCGATTTCCCCTCTTTGTTTCTGGATAAGGGCCACATATATCTATAGAGGTCATTTCGAATGGGGAAGTCGTCTCAGGTAACTCTCCCAAGGGTGCAGTGGGGTGTCGCCCTACCTTAAACTTGGCACACGATTCGCACTGCCTCACGTACGTTTCCACATCCCGGTCCATATTGGGCCAAAAGTAGTTAAGTTTAATTAAGTCTCGGGTCCGTTTCACTCCCTGATGCCCTGCAAACACCTTATCACGATGCATTTTGATAATGGGCTGTATCAAGTTATGAGGTACAACCAACTTTCCGTTTTCCAAATTTGGTCCCGCGTACAGAAGCCCATCGTCACTGATAAAGAATTTTGACCTCGTATCTGTGCTAATTTCATCCATTATTTCTTTACAATAAGGATCCTGTTGCTGTCCCGTGTAAACAGTCTCGCGAGTGAGGGTTTCGCCTGACTCAGCACTTTGACATCTCCGGCTTGCGGCTCCTGTAGCAACGGAAGCAATATAGCCCGATAGGCAGTCCGCATTTACATGCTTCTTGCCTGCCTTGTGTTCAATTTCAAAGTCATTCAGATAATTTGAGAACCCATCTAGTCAATCGGGCACAATGATGGTTCTTCACCTTGATCAAAGGGTGGAATGATCGGTAACAATTTTGAATTTTCTCCCATATAGAAAACACCTATGTATTTGTGTACCAAATACAACAGCTAGTAACTCCTTCTGAGTCGTACTGTAATTTCTTTCCGCAGCATTGAGCATACGGCTAGCAAAGCTGATAGGCCGTTCCTTCCCATTCTGCAGCTGACTCAAAATGGCAGAAATAGCATAATCAGAAGCATCTGTACTAAGAATAAATTGCTGATCAAACCGAGGGTGCGCCAACACCGATTCGGATGTCAGGGCGGCCTTGAGATCATCGAAGGCCAGTTGCTGGGAATCTGTCCAAACAAACTTCTCGTCTTTTCTCGTTAGTTGTGTTAAGGGCCGACTCATGGCTGCGTAATTTCTTATAAAAGCCCTATAATATCCGGATAGGCCTAAAAATGAGCGGACATCTTTCACCGTTCTTGGCCGTGGGAATTCTCTGATGGCTGTAACTTTACTCGGGTCTGGCGCAACGCCGTTGCTATTAACAACATGACCGAGATATACCACCGCCGGAACTGCGAACGTGCATTTGGCGATGCTTAATTTGAAATTCGCCTCTCGCACGTGCTCAAACACCAACTTCATTCATCTCATGTGATCTTCAGTCGTTTCACTGAACAGCAACAAGTCATCTAAATATACGAGTACCTCTACGTCATGCAACACCAACAACATGGCATCCATGACGCGTTGAAATGTCGAAGGGGCGCCTGAAAGACCAAAGGCCATTTTCTCGTACCTAAAACTACCGAATGGGGTGACGAATCCGGTCTTATCCTTATCCTCCTCCCGTATAGGAATATTCCAATACGCGTTTTCGATGTCCAATAACGTGAAATATCTACTCCCCGCCATAAGTGAGAGGTTGCTCTTGATATCAGGTATGGGGTACACTGGTGTACTCGTCACTGAATTTAACACTCGAAAATCGGTACAAAATCTATATTTTGGAATTCCGTCCAGTGATTTCTTGGGGACTAAAATCACTGGCGCCGCCCGCAGCGAGGCGCAGGGAGTAATAACCCCTTTAGCCAACATCTCATCTAGCTGGCATCTCATCTCCTCCCTTAATGCATAGGGTACACGATATGGGTTCTTCTTAATCGGCAGGGCGTCCCCTGTCCGAATCTCGTGATAGCCCATGGTCATAGTGGGTAGCACCCCTGTGCTGTCGTTACAAAATAAATCTAAATATTCTTCAAGCACTGGTAACAAGACTTGTTTATCTTTTTCGGACAAGTGATCTAACTTCTGCTCTAGTTTCTCCCTTACTTCCCTGAGTTCCTGGGCATCTCTTGTGCTAACGGAACTAACCCGAAGGTTCGCTGTTCCCTTCCTCCCCGGGTAGCGAAATCAACTCCTGCTTGCTCGGGTGGAATCTCCCCCAGCGGCTCGGCCTGTCCCAAGCGTATATTCTTACCCAACTCCAAATATTGACCACGGGTATTCAACACCTTTAATACGCAGTACCTAGGCCCGTTATCCTCTCGTACGGTCATGACCCTATCGACCCTCTCACTCTTTCCAGTGGTACCAGATTTCGTGTCATTTCCGCCTAGGCTTCGCATTTCCTCCAATTCTCCTGCAGTAAAAATCCGGCTTGCTACTCTAGCCACGTACGCACCCGGCGTACCTAATCCCAAGGGTTCAATTAATATCTCCCGGGGCAACTCCACCCCTTTACTCTTCTCTATTTTCCCTACTACCAGTCCCTCAGACAACGGGGGGATGACGATTGGCTCCTGAGCCACCACGTTCCAACAATCTATACAGGATCCTCCCGGGCTCAACCCTGGGGTAGGTACTTCAACCGGTCCACCCGACGGCGTCAACCTTGGGCTGGCCAAGCCCGCTGGTGACACCCTCTGTGTCGTCCGGCATTGGCGGTGGACTGGCGCACACCGCTCGACCGTCTGTCCTGATAATTGATGGTGTGTCCGTCCTAGGACTAGCGTGTCGGTTCGTAAATCGATACACGCCCCCATCCGTCTGAGGACATCAGCCCCTAGAACACCACTATATTCCGTATCCAGGGGGGCTATCAAAAACTCATGGGTAAACATCTTTTTCCCCACCCTAAATGTTATCAACTGCGCTCCTACTATTTTCAATTTAGCTCCCGTGATCCCTCTTGCGGCTGTCCGTGTAGCACGAATATCTGACGTATTAATTCCCGGCTTCATCACGCTCAGGCTGGCTCCTGAATCTACTAACACCTGGTGGAAACTTCCTTCTATTTCTATTTCTAGCAACAACTCTGGGCCAGTAATTCCTACGTGCGACCGACCTACCGTCGTGCACTCTATTGCTGGTTCGACGCTGGGGATCTGGACGTCGAACCCTGACCGTTTGGGTGCTGGGCAGCTCGAGAAAATTTTGGGCAGTCTCTGCGTCTATGCCCAAACTCATTACAATGGAAGCACTGGATGCCTGACGAGCGAGTGTCCTCAGGTGGGCCCCAAGGCCGTGCTGGTCCCCAAAAGCTTTGCCTGCCTGATCCGACCCTTCCTCTACCTCCTCGAGTGAGCAGAAGGTCGCAGGAGGGTGGGTCCCTCCGCCTAGAGCTCTGATCTCGCCACGACCTCCGACCTGATGTCATGGAGGGGGTTTCTTATCGGCAATCCCTAGCATAATACCCTCTTTTCCCGCAACGGAAATATTCAACGTCGCTCCTGGCGGTAAATATTGTAACGTGTTTAGACACTGAAGACACCGTACGGATCGTTAATTGGTTTATTCAACAATCTACAAGTAATGGCTACAATTACTTATCACACAGTTGCGGGGTTTCACACTTTATAACCCTATGCGCAAATCAGCTCACTCTGTGTTCAGTAGTCTACACGTTTACAGTAGGGGAGCTATGTATCACTGTATCACACACTCCCAAATTCACAATTACACACACGTCCGGTTCTTCTTTCCGCGATGGCTGCTATACTCCAACTATAGTCGGCTGACTGGAGAACTGTTGATAACACACTCGCTTGTAGGCTTGCTCGGAACTATCTTCGGCAATGGCTACGTTACAACTCGACTCGGCGACTGTCCACATTACAACTCGGCGGCTGTGACAGTACAACTCGACTCGTAGCTGCTGTGCAGTTCCCTTATATAGCCGCAGTGCTTGCCTGTTGTGTAATGAGTGCCTTGTCACAGTAGGAATCATTGCCACGTCATCCTGTTGCGTTACTGTGCGGAGGAGGGGGAGGGGAGCGCTGACTCACCTGCCGAGTCACTGCTTTTGGGGGGGGTCTCCTTTGCGCAACATGTCACAATACCTTCTTGACTCCTTCGGTTAGCTGTTTGTGTTTCTCCACGTTTTCTACTGTGACCGCTAACCTCACCGCCTGCTCCATTGTGCTGGGCATCTGAAATTGTACTTGTTGCCCCACTATGCCCCTAAGACCGTGAACATAGGCTGCTAACAATCTACGTTCCGCCTCCTCATTAATTATACGCTGGGTCTCTTCGTCGTTAACCTTCCTGATGGTTCTTAGACAAATCTTCCTACAACGGTCACTGAACTCCTCCGCGCTTTCGTTCTTCCCCTGAACCGCGTCCTGTAGTCTAGTATAGTAATACTGGTGAGGGAGCTTGTCACTGAACCTCTCAATCAGTGCCTGCCTCAGAACTTCGTAGGAACATCCATCTCAGCCTAGCTCTTCCCTTCCATTCAAAAATTGCAGGGCCAACCCTTGCAATTTGGCCTTAACAATGAAAGGTTTATCGTGGCTAGTCCACCCACTCAACCTTGGCCAATGTCTATCTGCGTTAAAAACTCATATACAGATCTCCCCTTACTTTCCCCCGTGCATTCCTTTATCCTGGCTACAAGTGAAACGTCCTTGCTCTGCCCTCTGTGGGCCTCCCCAATTCTGAGGGTTTCCAACTGAACCCATAGTTCCTCCATCTGTGCTTGGAGAACCTCCATTTCCCCCACACGAGCCATGCTCCACGCCAAAGGGCCAACGTGTATCTACTCTAAGCTAAACTATGTTCGTAGGTCTCCCACAATTTCCTTTCAAAAGCAATTCTCACTCAAGTTTGACCACTAACTGCTTAAATTTATAAACATATGCATCTGCCCTTGAAAATAATTTTGATAAAAATTAAAAAAAAAATGAGTCACAGCGCCACGGCACACATATTTGATCCCTACAAATCCATATGTCTAGTTACGGTAACACATAAATGAAAACACTGTCACTTAAACTCGTGGGTGGTTAAAAGTTATCCACATTTCCTAAAATTTCTTAACCATCTCCGGTGCGTAAGCCCGGCAATTCGAGCAGAATAACAACGCGCCGCTTGCCACCAATTTGTTGTGCCCTGATAGGGGACAGTGACTGTACTCACCCCCTATCGGACGTCCGTGGATATCACTTAACCGATGCTGTGGAAAACGTGCTTCACTAGGAGGGTCACAAAAACTCCAGTTCTCCAAACAACAACAAAAATGGAATATTATAATCAAATTAAAACACTTATACACCTCTAAATTATAAAAACACATTAACCCACCAAAATAATTTAAACCAGAAGTTCTAATAAGCCATCAGTGACCCGACCACGGGCAAGTACTCACTCGTACTAAACATGATGCACTTGAAAAACACTGGCGCCATCCCAAGGTTTTCCACAGGCACACTTTGCTTTACTTGTCCGTTTTCTGGCACCTGCTAGAAACAGAGTGCCTGAAATGGCCTGTTTTTCCCAATTCCAAGATTCAACTTTTTCCCAAGTTGCGAAAGCTGCGCGCGCGAAATCCCTGAGGTTGGCATCTTGCCGGACATGCCTTGTCGCGCGAAGCAAAACTTGACCGGGTCTTTCCACTGATGCGTAAAC